GGTTGTTGCAACGATGGTGACTTTGGTACCGAAGTGAATTGCTGGAAGTACAGTTGGAGGGTTTGTTGGGTCGTACACCGAGGAGATCGATTTTCAGCTTGTACGGTTACGAGTCCTGCCGGATAGAACGTTTGGTGGAGCTCTACGTCGGCGTCAACGTCGGCACTAGGATGGTGGGATTAATTGAGCAAGAGCAGAAGTAGAGGGCAGCTCTACTGAGTTTGATGAGGAGGCCTGGTCTGGCCTTGGGGATGATGCAGCTGATGGAGTTGTTACAGATGAGGAAGTTTTGCTTCGGCGGGGAATGTCAGGCAAGACAGATTTGTACGTCGGGATGTAGTCAAGCAGCAATGGGACCTTGTAGTTCTCGACTGGCAAACCTAGTAGCTTTTTTAGATCTTTGCTTGGGAAAAATGTCTGGTGAAAGTCTTTTGCTGGCTGAGAAAGATCTGTAAACAAGAGAAACATTAGCATGAACAGATAAGGTTAACAAATCTTAAGCAGAAATAAAGTTGGGAGGTAACTCAGTTCTTACCCTCATTCTCTCTAAACACTCCTCGGTGCAATGGGAAGAGATGAAGATCGTTGTCTAGTGCAAACTCCCAGTTGCCCGAGACGATCATATAGTCATCCCCAACACCCTTGTTGGAGTCTGGAAGGTCGGCTACGATTTTGTAGGCAGTGGATCTGGGCTTGAAGTAATATGTGTAGCCCTTTTCAGAATTAAGGCCACACATGGTGTAACAAAACTGGATGTCGGCTAGTGTGTTCCTAGCATTTTCTTGGCGTGCCAATTCTATGATGCCATTGATAACCCTGTATGAGTTGATGGCTAGTTGCATGGGGTTGAGTTTATAATAATGGAGGATTTCCCTAAAAAGGATGTCTATGGGAAACCTGAGTCCACACTCTACAAAGGCAACTACTGGGAAAGGCATAAAGTTTCCATCAGGCATAATGGAGTCCTCCTTCCTAACCAATCTCATCTGAACATTGGCTGGGATAGAGAACTCTCTCTTAAAGTTCTCAAGTTTTTTTGGGGTGCCTACCCTTCACTTAAACATGCCCATAACTTCGGCTTAAATGAAAGATGGTACAAGATTTTAGAAGAAGATCACTGGTAAATGTTTGGAAACCTCGGCTAAACCCTAGAAAGCACTGGGATGAGGATTTATGAGGGTTAGAGGGGATTTCGTTTCAATTTTCCTAAAGAAACAAGGCTTTAAATCAAACCCACAAACCCAAGTCTATGCAGAAACAAGGAATCAAAGGCAAAAATCTGGAAACAGAGCAGGAAAACCAAAAAAGAAATGTAATTCAGAAATCAAGGGTGAAGCAGAAAAACAGGTGTGTACACCCAAAACTTCAAGACACTGAGTGAGTGTGTGAAAAACAGTGTGCAAATGTCTGAAGCAAAAAACATGATTGGCATTCTCGAAAGACTACACAGATTTAAGATTCAAGAAACAGAAATATTGATCAAAGCATGAAGATGAAAACAAGACATAAACGTAGATACAAGGCAACAACAGACAATGTGGATAAATGACAGGTTCGAAACAAATAAAGAGAATAATAAAAGACTAAAATTAAAAGGAGATATTGGGAACTCACCGATTGAGGTTGAAGAGGGAAACGCCGAAGTTGTGTTCGCTAGAGTTAGATGCTGCCCTTGATCGAAAAGGAGTGGCAGGAAATTCACTAGAGATAGACAGTGGCAGAGTTTCGAAGGTTCGAAAATGGAGGATGTTAGAGAGAGAAAGTCTGAGTATAGAGAGAAAAATTAAGAGAATGCAAAGTGAGAAGACGAAGAGAGAGAGAGAGAGAGTTTCGATAGAACTTGAAAAGGCAACAAAAAGAAATGAATACGCCTTGGACGACGTGTCTGTCCGGTGGTGTACGCAGAAGCGACGCAACCTGATAGCGTGTGTCAGGTACGAACCAATGAGAATGGGATGCGTGGAGGAAACGGTTGAGTAAACTATGCGTGACAGCTCATGCGCAATCAAAACCTTTGGAGTTCTTGATTAATGAAGCAAAAAACCTCGGCTAGAGGAACAATCTCGGTCGAGATGTTTAAAGAACTTGACTTTGGGTTCCTGATCCTCGACAAAGGTGGACAGTTGAGCACTTGAAGCCGATGAGTAATGATCTCAGTCATGAAGCAGAGCGAAACTATAACCGACCTACTACTCGAAGAAACAATGTTGGTTCCATTACATCAGGTTGCTGAGGAAATAGAACCTAGGGGGCAATTGTGGGGAAGTATTTTGTGAATAATGGCACGCGGCAAAAGGTGACACCGAAATGTCAGCTGGCCACATTGCCGAGATTGTCTTGGCTAGGCCGAGGTTATCTACGCAGATATTGGAATTTGAGATAAGCTGATAGGGAAGGACAGGAGTCTTAGATGAAAGAGGGCTCTAGACTGGATATAAATAAGGCTCTGAGGGAGTTTATCCTTATCTAGCTAAGAGTCTAAGATAAGCATTATGTACTAGAGTCCCATGAAGTAAGACTTCTAGGGGAAATTGGACATTGATCATTATAAAAGTAAGGCACCCCCGGTGAGTCTGAGGTATGCTTTTTATGTTTTTTCTAGTGAGTTAAGCACTATTTGTTATCTATGAGAGATACTGAATACTAACTTGACCGTCGGAGTGCCCCCGGTGGACGAACCAACGCCAAATTCCTACATTTCTGTGACAGGTTGTTCAAGCTTAATCTATTATGCCGGTGCTCTCCAGCTGGGTTCCCCGTTTGGTTGTGTGGTCAAAAATTAACACCCACAATATATATATATATATATATCAAATTTGACCCTAATTTCTTCTCTCTCCTTTACAATTTTAAGGCTTGACAATTTTAAATCAATAGTACTAAAGTTTCCAAATTTTGTTTTTTACATGTAATTTGACAAGAAAAGTGTCACTTCAAACTATCCCACTTTTATCATTTTATCTTGAATTGAACTACCAATATATCAATCTTGAGACCTCACAACTGTTAGGAGTTGTGAAATGATTCTGAATAATTCTCCTCGACAAAAGAACTGATGATAATTCATATTTGTTAGGTTTTAGTAATTAGTAATTTCATTCGGCAAAACCCTTTTTAGTTATAATTTTATTCGCTCTCTTGTTCTAGTGAGACTGTGAGTATTTAGATGTAAATCCAACCCAAATTGTGCCTGTAGAGGAGTTTGTACTGACATTCTTTATCTTGAGCATTCTGAATTCCTTGTTTGCTACTTCGCTGACTATGTACAAGGATCGAACTATTTCCCAAAGTTGTTTGACCGCTCGAGCGATCATTTATGCGCTTGGGCTATGAAGTGAATCATCTAGTATCTCTGCCTGCAAACTGAATTTCTGGGAAATATGTTTCACCACTCGAGTAGTAGATGTTGCGCTCGAGTGGTTGGCCTATATGTTTGCACCACCTTTTACTTACACTGCTCAAGCGGTCTTCGCGACTCTATTTAGTATAAAGTGCATCGTTTGTTGTTTTTAGGGTTTAACCCGTCCAGATTCTTAGAGAGATGTAAAATACAAAGTGTTCTATATTGGAGGGTGGTTTATATGAGTTTTGTTGATGTATAGAAGGTGATTAATTGATCAACGAACTACATATTGATAAACATCAAAGGTTGATTTTGTTTATTTATTCACAAAAATTAAGAGGTATTCATTAGTGGATTCCGGAGAACTTGGGCCTGAAGTTTTAGTGGATTCTAGAGTGGCTCATCATCGTAGATTCGACATCGGTGTTATGGATTCAACGTTGGGCAAAGCAGTTCCATGGTGAAGATGATGGTGGAAGAGGCACATTGGGTTTAGTTCAATTTGGGTGTGGATTCGCTAGGTAATTGAGAGTACTCATATGTAATTCTTTTTTTCTTCTTAGTTGATTATTTTGTGGTTTTGATCCGTGGTTTTTTTTTTTTATCATAATTTGAGGTACTCCAATTGTGGTTTTTTCTACATTAAATCGCTGTGCCAGTTTGTTGTTAATTGTTTGATTGAGATTAATATTCACTGTTTAAAATTGAAATATAATTACGAATTAATATCTTGAAGGTTTTAAAGATTTTTCAATATTTATTCCAAAAATTGAGAGAAAATATTTGTTGAATCAAACAGAGTCTAGTCACTAATGTGGCTCGTTGAATGCTTCTCATGCAAAAAAAAAAAAAAAAACCATTCATTCAAGCCACTTAGGTCTCATTTGGGAACTTGGCTATTTTATTTGGTTTATTAGCTTTTTGGCTATTTTATTAGATGAAAAAAAAAAGTTATATTTGGAATGATTTGTGAATTTTTTTATAGTTGAATAGATAGTTGTTAGAGAAAAAATTTCTTTTTTTCTTCTTAGTGGATTATTTTGTGGTTTTGATCCGTGGTTTTTTTTTTTATCACAATTTGAGGTACTCCAATTGTGGTTTTTTCTACGTTAAATCGCTGTGCCAATTTGTTGTTAATTGTTTGATTGAGATTAATATTCACTGTTTAAAATTAAAATATAATTACGAATTAATATCTTGAAGGTTTTAAAGATTTTTCAATATTTATTCCAAAAATTGAGAGAAAATATTTGTTGAATCAAACAGAGTCTAGTCACTAATGTGGCTCGATGAATGCTTGTCATGCTAAAAAAATAAAAAATAAATAAAAAACCATTCATTCAAGCCACTTAGGTCTCATTTGGGAACTTGGCTATTTTATTTGGTTTATTAGCTTTTTGGCTATTTTATTAGATGAAAAAAAAAAGTTATATTTGGAATGATTTGTGAATTTTTTTATAGTTGAATAGATAGTTGTTAGAGAAAAAATGATTGATTATTTCGTAGAATGTGAGATTTTGTTTTATTAATTATTTTAATATTTTTTTATCTTTATTAACTATTTTAATAAAACAAATTCTTCCCAAACAGGCCAAACCGCGTCCGTCTACAAGAACTTGATTTCAGCAAGAGTTATAGTCAAAGATAGGCACTAGAATATATAAAGCTCCCAACTTATATTTTGCATCAAAATTTGAGGTTTCACACAAGCTTGATTTGAAGATAAAGAAGGGAAAAGAGGGAGGAAAACAGATGAGAAATGTTCAGAAAATTCTTCATAGTCCAACCATCCCTCCTTGTACAAAAGAGTTCGATAACAAGCATATATGTAATACAACTATGACAGGACATGTATATTACAAGTCACCAACCTCTTAAAAAGGCAACTTTATTTTCAACTTCCCAACTATTTACATATTGTCTCACTCTGTCTTAGGCTTCAAATTTTTTCGTGTGGAACATGTTAGAAATTGGAACCCTCTTGAGCACCTTCCCATAAACTTTAGAGTCTCATCGATCAAAATCACAGGTAGAGCAACTGCCAAAACCAATATCCATTCATTGAGGTTGAGGGGCACTATGCCAAACACATGAGCCAGGAATGGCACGTAGAGAATCAAAAAGTGCAAGCTAAATGAGATGGACATGGCCAAAAGGAGCCAAGGATTGACCCAAGGGGGCATTGTCAGAAGGCTCGTGTCCTCAGAAAGTGCATTGAGAGAATTGAACATTTCGATGGCGACAAGGACAGAGAGGGAGAGTGTTGTGGCCTTCATTTTTCCACGCTTGAAGTAATCACAAGGGTTGTTGTCAAAGGAGAACACTTGTGTCCCAGCTGTGAAAGGTGAGACGGTGAAATTCTCCCAAGATGAGCATTGACCCCAATTTGCGAGTTGGGAGTATGTGACTAGGGTGTGGCCATCACTGCTAAGGTCAATGCCCAAAAAGGAACCATGTGTGTACCAAATGATGAATATACCAACAGTAGCAAATCCAACATATAGACCAATGACCTGTCCAAAACCATTTTGTTGATTATACAAGTTAGAGTTCAATCTAAAGGAAATGATATATCATAGTGTGTGTATAACTCTTATGCATACCAAATAGCGAAATAAGGTCCAAGGGCTGATGAGTGTGTCATCACTGCGACGAGGGGGTTTCTTCATTATGCCTATATCTGGCGGATTGAATCCCAATGCTGTCGCTGGGGGTCCATCAGTGACAAGGTTGACCCACAATAGTTGGACAGGTATTAGGCCTTCGGGGACACCTAATGCCGCTGTTAAAAATATAGAAGCCACCTCACCTATGTTTGAGGAGATCATGTACCTACAATAGAGTGAAACCATGCACAAAATGAGCCCATAGATTATTTGTGCTTCAGACAGGGTTATGGACAGCCCTCCCCTTATTAATGGCAAAAATTCTGAATGTGTGGTTGAGATTAAATTAGTATAATATGGGGTACATGGATAGATTGAATGTGGACCATTCATTGATATTTCTTGTAAAAATTCTGTGTATTAGTATTACTGTAGAACTTTAAGATAGCAACAATTTTTTGCATCTATTACTACCTGATGAAAGCCTTCATGTTGTTGTAGATAGATCTCCCTTCACCGACAGCAGCGACAATTGTACTAAAATTATCATCTGCTAAAACCATGTCAGAAGCTTCCTTAGCAACCTGGAAAGAGAAGAGAGGTTAGTTCCCAATTTGCAAGGATGTTAAATATAAAGAAAATGGGAAAGAAGCATACATACCTCTGTCCCAGAAATACCCATAGCTATTCCAATATCGGCTAGTTTTAGGGCAGGTGCATCGTTCACTCCATCACCTGTCATGGCAACGACCTCTCCATCTTCTTTAAGCAATCTCACAATCTCTTGCTTATGCCTTGGTTCAGCCCTAGAGAATAGAAGCCCACCAGTTTGTCTCAGATAGGCTTTCTGGTCTTCAAGTTCCATAAACTAGGTCTCATTCCAGTTAAGCTTTTCAAACTCATGTCTTCTTCGGGTTCAAATACACCTATTTCGCAACATATGGCTTCTGCAGTATTTTTATTATCCCCGGTAATAACCATAACACGAATGCCAGCCGCTTTGCAGTCCTGAATTGCTTGGTAAACTTCTTTTCGAGGAGGGTCCTATGTAGATTTCAGTAAAATTTCACTATTAGTTCGTTTTTTACATCTTCTAAACAGAATGAAATGAAGCATAATTATTGATTGGTCATGTCATTACTAACCCTTAGCCCAACCAAGCCAACAAAAGTTAGTTTAGTCTCAATCGACGAATAATTGGATGGATTGAGTAAAAGAGCATGAGCTGGATGATCCTCATCGCCATCATATGTTTCGAAGTCAGGTAACTCATCTTTGTATGCGAAACCCAAGCAGCGCAAAGCACCGGTTGACATTTCACGGAGGGATTGCAAGATAAGGTTCTTTGAATTTTGATCCAATTCTACAACAGAACCATCAAGCAACTGAACATGGGTGCTTCTCTCCAATACATTTTCTACTGCACCCTGCCACAATTTAGCATTTATTTTAGAAATATTTTTTTGCTTACTACAGAAAGTTCTGTTAAGTATCAAGAACCTAAAAGATTGGAACAATGAAGATACATAATTTCCACTTCAATAAGCAAAGTAGAACACTATATTTTAAGAAAAAATCCATGTAATAAAATTCTTCTGCTAATGCTTCAGCTGTTTTTGACAATACAATATCCAATATTTCTCTAATTTCTCAAAATGCACAATTTTTTTTCCCTTTTATTTTATGTTTCTCTGTTTTATACTCCTCAATCCCATAATTTTAATTGACTTGCCACCTCTCCCACTCCCAAGAAAAATGAAAAAATATTAGTATAATAAATAAATTAATTAAACACTCTCAAATCCTTCTTGATGTTTGAGTTGGAAATAAGGATCAAGTTAGCTTGGCCAACCGATAGCTATAAAACTAATCAAGTGAATTTCTATGAAGACTTGTATAAACAATATGAGCATACATTCTACCCGGAACTTTCCCAAATACATAAAAATATTCTGAAACAGCTACAGATGCCAGGGAGGCATAGAAAGATTACCTTCACCAGTAATGACCTCAACCCTGATTGAGACTCGACGATTACGCCCATGGACTTTCTATCCCGATCAAACTCAAGAGTTGCAATTCGGCGTTGAGTTTTCTTCCAGTGGCGGCAGCATCCTACAACGTAGACGCAAAGCATTTTAAATCTCCAAGCAGAAAACCACAAAGAGAAAATCACAGAGCAAACAAGAAAATGATTTTTTTTTTTTTTTTTTCAATTTTAACGTACGTAATAGAACATCACTGGGAGTCGAACAAGTGTCATCCACAGATTCTTCAGGGAGGCCCATTTTTTCAACTAGAACCTGAAATAACAAGGTAACAATTTCACAAACTATCAACAAATTTGGCTAAAATATGCTTTTTCCAATCACAAACACATCCTATTAATGTAACAACGTTCAACAATTATTGGTTATGATCATTAATGCTTTCTATATATGTCTTTTGCCATTTGTAACTTCAATTCTATATAAGCATACCACTCTGCCAGCAACAATCAAGAAAAGAAAAATTAAAATTTAGAACAAAAAGGAAAGCAAAAGCAATTGAGATCAATTTACCTTCAGAGCAGCCTCAGTAGGCATTCCACTAGCAACATACTTGTGCTCCGATTGTGCAATACCGGCGTCGTTGCAAACAGCAGCTATTTTCGCAATCATCTGAAGATTAGCATCCAAGGCACCAGCCGGGAAGTCAAGGATTTTGCCATCAGAAGGGTTATAAGTAGTCCCATCCACCTGAAAACATCTAACTTCTTTCTCAGTAGCACCCATTGCCACAATCTTTGTCACAGACATTTGATTGGTAGTCAAAGTACCAGTCTTATCAGAACAAATCACAGTAGTGCATCCCAGAGTCTCAACACTAGGCAATTTCCTCACAAGGGCGTTTTTCTGAGCCATCTTTCTTGTGCCAAGCGCCAAACACGTGGTGATCACTGCGGGCAATCCTTCTGGAATGGCTGCCACAGCCAATGCCACCGCAATTTCAAAATAATACGTGCATTTCTCGATGGAAAACTTGAAATTCTTAGGCCACCACCCATTATCATACTCCCAAGTCAAGAAGTACTTGACATTGATGATCCAAACAAGTGCACATATCAATCCAATTATTTTAGTCAAGGCCTCACCAAACTCATTCAATTTCTTCTTCAATGGAGTGTCTTCTTCGCACTGCGCTGCGAAATGGATTTGGGTGTGGACTTTCCCAATCTCTGTCTCCATGCCAGTCTGTGTCACCAAGCAAATACAATACCCATTAACAATTGTTGTTCCTGCAAAAACCATACACCTCTTGCCTTGAATATCAGCATCTTCAGGCACAGCCTTGTTGGTTTTATTCACCGCCTCGCTCTCGCCTGTCAGCGAGCCCTGCTCGACACGGAGAGTCGAGCTGATCAGCTTGACAACTCTCATGTCGGCAGGGACTTTATCGCCAACTTTGAGCTCAACTATGTCCCCTGGGACGAGCTCTTTGGCAGGCAGGTTAGATGTTCGACGATTGTCCCGAATAACATTTGCGTTCTCGGATTGGATCTCTTTGAGCGCCTCCAGTGCTTTCTCGGCATTGTTCTCTTGCCAAACACCCACGATCGCGTTAACGATCAAGATGAGGAAAATCACGATGGGTTCCACAAATGCCGTGAACTCGTCGCCGCCCTCCCCTCCATCATAGAGTGCTAGGACGAAGGAGACGATGGCGGCAGCGAGGAGGATTCGAACAAGGGTGTCGTTGAATTGGTCAAGAATTAGAGTCCATATGGATGGTCCCTCATGCTTTTCGAGCTCGTTGTAACCATGAATTCTGAGGCGTTTTTCGATCTCTGAAGAGTTTAGTCCTGCAACCCTGTTGACTTGGTAGTGTTTTTCACATTCTGAAACTTGTTTAGACCATGCTGGGAAGGTTTCACGGTGTGGAGGAGCTCTTGGGCTTGGGAGGTCTCTCTTAGCATAGTCTTGTCCACCTTTGCCCATCTTTAAAAAGACCATGAAAAACAGAGAGAAAAAACAGAGTTTGAAGAGTGTATATCAGAGAAAATTATGAGTTCATACAAACTTGCTGATCAAGAAAGAAAATAAAACAGTTTCCATTTTTTTCAAATCAAACAATGACCCAGAAACACTAGTTAAGCATTTGTAGCAAAGAAATACAAACTGGGCACATACAATTCAAAGTCGAGGAATTGAAAGAAAGCAAATAATGGGTTTCCTTTCTTTGCTTGTTTTGAGTGAGTGGGTACAGAAATGGAAGAGTTTGAAATGGTGAAAGAGGGAGATGATTCAACCAGACACCATGCGTTGGCCATCTCTTCATCTTGTATATATTTTATATATAGACTATGTAATGTGTTTCTCTGTCATTGTTATGACTTTTTGTTTTAAGATAACAATAAAGGAAGCTTCGTGGATGGATGGTGATGAAGTAGAGAAGGAGGAGTTGTTAAAGAGTGGAGAGGGGTTTGGTGGGTGACGATTGGGGAAGGAGGCCTGGCCAATATGTTTGTGGAATATGTATATTTTTTCAGTTGGTAGACAAGTGAGAACTTTATCAAGGATCTTGTTGGTTATAACCTGTGCAGTTTTCCTATGGTGAGGAGCTCATGTCCTTTCGCAGAATCAATCATGATTGCCCTCAGGAAAAATTTACGAACACAAAAATCAGTCACAAATGCAGACATAATCCTCTCACATAATGTGGTAATTGCTAAATGACAGAGTTGTTTACCATTAATCAATCATTATTGCTCTCAGAAAAAGTTTATGAACACAAAGTTGGATACAAGCCTCTCGCATAAAATGACTCTCATTTTTTTGGGAGTTTCTTACTCATGTGAGACGATTGTGTTCAATTCTGTCTTATTAGAATAATCATTACTTTCAATTCTCAATATGTATATTTTCTTGGATTGGTAATTCTTTGATTTCATATCTTAATGTATTTAAAATCCGGTTATATCTCAATGTATTTTCTTAGGTACTCGTAACTTATCGAATTTGGATATTTTATAGTGTACTCTCTATAGTGTTTTAAAATAAAATAGTATAGTTAAAAATGACGTCGCTTTGGCATCTTCATCAAGATACCAAAACAACATTTTATTTTATTTTTAAATTTTAAATCTCAACCTTTGGTTATTCTCTTTTTTTAATGTGGTGCTTTGTCATTCAAAACACTACCGAGAATCTAAATTCGTAACTTTATCATGTAACATTGCCCATTTAGAATATCTTATAAGTCAGAATTTAATGACTATAGTGTTTTAGATTATTAACTTACAAGAATTAAAGTAAGTCATAAATTTATTTGGTCCAACTTTTTTATAATATGTGAAAAAAAGTTAAACATGTTTAATTGAATAATTTCTCCCATAATTTTTTTGTCGTGTAAGTATCCAAAACATACTCAAAAGTCTTTTACAAGCGTTCATATGTATTGAAGGGTTTTAAATAAGCTTTAAAAAGTTACAAATTATAGCTTAAAAAATCTCACTTTTTTAAGCAAAATAAATTAAAAATGTCAAATAAGTTATAATTTGAAATAACAATCAAATAGTATTAATCATTTTTTAAGAAAATGAGCCAAATAAATTGATCTATAGTGCTACCAAACAGGGACATTATCATGTAATATCATATATGCAACATAAAGAAAAATAATATTCACACAAAATTTTTATACATTATTTTTTGTGAGAATGATGTCGTGGTGACATTTCTATAATTAAATATCATTTGATGAGCGCTTTGTTTTAAAATGATAAGTCCCAATGCAACCACATTATTAAGTATACAAATTCTGTATTTTTTTTTTTTAAGGAAAAATATCAAAGAAAAAAAGGAAGTAGAAAAAATTATTGCAAATTCATGAATGTATAGCACTCATTTGCACAATTTAGTGCATAAATTACTTGTATTTTTTTGAGTTTGTAATTATTTTTTTAACCTTCCACTTTTTTGAGATATATATGTATATGTGTGTGCATATTTTATTTATATATCACTACTACTCTGAATTAATTGTTATTTATAATGCCAATATAAATGTGTTGATTTCACTATCCAAACTAATCACAACTAAGAAAGATATATCGCGTAAGGTAAGTAATATGCAATAATTGTTTAGAATCTAAAAATGCAAAAAATTTAAAACGTAATCTAATAATTAAAATTGTATTAAAAGAAAAAGTAGCATGTTATTGTGAACGAAATTTTGAGTATAAAATTTTATGGTTATAGTTATTTTCCTAACATCACTGTTGACGACTGATATATGAATGTGGAATTACTTGTAGCATATTATTTTATCACTTGGTCAATTAAACTACTTATAAAGAAAAGTAACTTTTTATATAATCTTCAAAGGAAGAGAAATTGTACAAATAATAACATTTTTTAAAATATATATATATATATATATATTTTTTTTGGGAGTTTCTTACTCATGTGAGACGATTGTGTTCAATTCTGTCTTATTAGAATAATCATTACTTTCAATTCTCAATATGTATATTTTCTTGGATTGGTAATTCTTTGATTTCATATCTTAATGTATTTAAAATCCGGTTATATCTCAATGTATTTTCTTAGGTACTCGTAACTTATCGAATTTGGATATTTTATAGTGTACTCTCTATAGTGTTTTAAAATAAAATAGTATAGTTAAAAATGACGTCGCTTTGGCATCTTCATCAAGATACCAAAACAACATTTTATTTTATTTTTAAATTTTAAATCTCAAACTTTGGTTATTCTCTTTTTTTAATGTTGTGCTTTGTCATTCAAAACACTACCGAGAATCTAAATTCGTAACTTTATCATGTAACATTGCCCATTTAGAATATCTTATAAGTCAGAATTTAATGACTATAGTGTTTTAGATTATTAACTTACAAGAATTAAAGTAAGTCATAAATTTATTTGGTCCAACTTTTTTATAATATGTGAAAAAAAGTTAAACATGTTTAATTGTATAATTTCTCCCATAATTTTTTTGTCGTGTAAGTATCCAAAATATACTCAAAAGTCTTTTACAAGCGTTCATATGTATTGAAGGGTTTAAAATAAGCTTTAAAAAGTTACAAATTATAGCTTAAAAAATCTCACTTTTTTAAGCAAAATAAATTAAAAATGTCAAATAAGTTATAATTTGAAATAACAATCAAATAGTATTAATCATTTTTTAAGAAAATGAGCCAAATAAATTGATCTATAGTGCTACCAAACAGGGACATTATCATGTAATATCATATATGCAACATAAAGAAAAATAATATTCACACAAAATTTTTATACATTATTTTTTGTGAGAATGATGTCGTGGTGACATTTCTATAATTAAATATCATTTGATGAGCGCTTTGTTTTAAAATGATAAGTCCCAATGCAACCACATTATTAAGTATACAAATTCTGTATTTTTTTTTTTTTTAAGGAAAAATATCAAAGAAAAAAAGGAAGTAGAAAAAATTATTGCAAATTCATGAATGTATAACACTCATTTGCACAATTTAGTGCATAAATTACTTGTATTTTTTTGAGTTTGTAATTATTTTTTTAACCTTCCACTTTTTTGAGATATATATGTATATGTGTGTGCATATTTTATTTATATATCACTACTACTCTGAATTAATTGTTATTTATAATGCCAATATAAATGTGTTGATTTCACTATCCAAACTAATCACAACTAAGAAAGATATATCGCGTAAGGTAAGTAATATGCAATAATTGTTTAGAATCTAAAAATACGAAAAATTTAAAACGTAATCTAATAATTAAAATTGTATTAAAAGAAAAAGTGGCATGTTATTGTGAACGAAATTTTGAGCATAAAATTTTGTGATTATAGTTATTTTCCTAACATCACTGTTGACGACTGATATATGAATGTGGAATTACTTGTAGCATATTATTTTATCACTTGGTCAATTAAACTACTTATAAAGAAAAGTAACTTTTTATATAATCTTCAAAGGAAGAGAAATTGTACAAATAATAACATTTTTTAAAATATATATATATATATATATATTTAGGTTGGATTTTGAATTTAGGGTACCAGTTAGGCCTTTACATTGATAATTTTCAATCATATATACAATGTGTACACCTAGTCTGTGGAAGTCAATCCAACCATGGAATATCACAATTCAAATAGGTTGCAATTATATTTTGGGTAAATTATACCTTTATCCCATGTATGTTTGACCACTTTTTTACTTCATTTTTTCTCACTCTGATTTTTTTATGTTTTAAATTTTTTTCAATTTACTCTTAAAGTTAATTTCTGTTCAAAATTAGACAGCAAATGCCATAATAACGATCACATAGCATAAAAAATATATATTATTATACTTGAATTGAAGTTTATGTTAGATATGTGAGTTGTATATAGTAAAATATTTTTATACCATGTAATTGTTAATGTGTTATTTTATGTTTAATTTTTATTAGAAATTAGCTTTAAGAGTAAATTAGAAAAAAATTGAAACACGAAGGGTCAAAGTGAGAAAAAACAAACTTCAAGAGCCAAAATAGAAAAGTAACCAAACATAAAAGGAACAAAGTGTAATTTATCCTTATATTTTTGTTTTAGATGGCACCTTAATAATTCAATTATTATATTTTTGTATTGGACTATGTCAAAATATTACTTTAATAATCTAAATGCTATTTATTTTATTTTTTTTTATATTTTTCCGGGGTAGTTTATTTGTTAAGATATATATCATAAAATCATGTAGTTGCAATTAAGATTTGACTTCTCTCAAATTTTAAATTCAAACTGTACCATCATGTTGGGTCCTTAGACTCACCATGAGTGGCGTTTTGATAATTTAAACTATTTATTTCGTTTGTTTGAAGCCGGACCCTTAGCTTAACCTAATAATTATTAAATCAACTTGATTTATATATTTTTTATAATTTACACAAACGGTTTTACAAAATTTTAAAAAAAATGAAAAACAACAATAAATGATTTAAATCACTTATAAAAAAATTCAAAATTATTTTGAATATAACTTATAAATTGATTTTTTTAATTATCATGAAATAATGTGTAGAAAAATATAAAAATATACCCAAATAAATGAATAAATTAACTTTTTTTCTATGGATACCAAAGAAAAATGACTTAGACCCCCAGCTAGGGTGCTGGGGGTCGTCCCTGATTGGTGCAAAAATAGTTCTTTTTTTTTTTTTAGATTTCGGCCAATCACACGTTGCCACGTCACTGAGAGTGGCACTTAGAGTCGTCCGTATTAGGGGGTCCGTACTAGGGTCTGTAGCATTTCCCGGGTACCAAAAGGGGCTGATCCATATTTGAATATCAGGGGCTGATCCATATTTGATTGGATTATGACACTTTCGTACAATACACACAACCGTCTTCGTCCATAGATTCGTGGGTCAGTAAGTACTGTCTATGCAAGTAAATGATGGGATAAATTATTAATAAGATTTAATTTTTAAAAACAAA